GCTGGAGGCGGCGCGCGCGACCCCGCGGCGGAGCAGCATCATCAAGGTGGGCGACGCGCGGGGACGGGTGGGACCGCGGGACCGCGGGGCTGGGCGGGGCGGCAGCTCCCGGACCGCTCGCGGCCTCGGGCGGGGCGGCAGAAATGACTTTCCAGGCCGGGAGGAAAAGTTGCGCCCGCCGCGTAGCCGTGATCCGGGCCGCGAGCAGGAAGGGGCTCCGGCAGCCGCGCTGGACAGGCGCCCTTGCTCGGCAGTGACCCTGAGCGGCCGCGGTCCGGGGCGCAGAACTTCCCGCAGGCGGCGAAGCTCCAGTCTCGCCCGGCCCGGGTCCCCGGCGTCCCGGGAAAGCGCCCGACCTCACGGCCCCACGGGGTGGCCTCGGTCCACCAGGCAGGGAAAGCGTGAACGTAGTCCCCTTCTAACTGCCTTCCACTTGGGGCTGGCAATCCTCTGGCTGAGGTTCCATCTTTGGGGGTCAGGACTTTGAGAGAGTTTGGGTTGAGGACCCTCGCTGTGGCTTCTGGCGCCCTAGCAGAAACGCAGGTGAGATCGATTTTGAAGAGCAGCCCCTCCCAGGGACAGTGAAGGATGGGCTGTCCAGCTTAAGGGACTCACGGCAGGCTGACACCCTCAGTGCCCAGCAGGATAAGCCGGGAGGCCAGGGCGCAGGACATGTCCCTGTCCGAGCTCCCAGTCTGCTGGGCAGTGTCCCAGCACAGACAGAGAAACTTAGAAGCCAGCAGGGAGATTTCTATATTAACAAAGGAGTGGGTGGCAATTGCAATTAACTTGGAGTAGTTGACTCTGTTGTGGTTTTTTGATTCTGTGAAAAGGAGTATAGTATTCAGGGTGTGAATTTGTTCCAGCGGGCACTTAAACACCTGAGCTAATGGGCAGGCCCCCAGGGTGTGAATGTGGCTAAAAGGGAAATGACTTTTTTAAACCCACAAGTCAAAAAATGTACTGTTTTGAAAGTTAAAAACGTTGCAATTAGGAAACAGATATATTTTTGAATTCTAAAATCTTGATACGGCTACCCATTGTTTGAAAACAGAAACTGTGAGCTATGTTAAAGTACACAGGACGATCTGCGCTTTCAGATTGAACAGTGTTTTATGTTTTTGATTCAATGATGCCTCCTTTGTTTTGAAGTTTCATTTTTGTGTTGGAAAAGGAGACCACAGAGTACTAACTCGATCTTTTCCCTCTTTAATAGTAAATGAAATAAGCACTCAGTAAGCAGTCTTTAAAATGAAAGAAAAAAATACTAGAAGATAGTGAATTATTTTAAATTAGATTTAACTGAAAAATAAATTCATATCATTTTTAAAAGTCCAATGTTGCAAGCCCCTCCACACCCACACCTGCGTAGTCCATCCTCTTGGCTCTTCATACTTGCTTATACCTCCGTCCAACGTAGTCCCCCTGTGTAGGAGCCTATGTATCATGCATGTTCCTGAGGTATGTCAGAGCTCCTGATTTACAGGACAAGGTCTGACTGGTGTTCTACATGCCTTGTAGCTTCAGATTGGGTCCAGATATTTTTGGTGCCAGGAGGGTTGTCAGAGGTCATGGTGCTGAGCAGATCCATCTTCAGGGACAAGCGGGTAGGGGGGGTGGTGGTGGCTGGCAGTTGCTGAATCTGTTCTCAGAGGCTGGCGGTCCTTTCCAGGTGGGTCACAAACCTTTCTGTTGACATCTTGAATCTATCATCACGTGGCTTGTTTGCATGGCATAAATGAAAGTGTCTAAAAAAGGTATAGGCCACCTGAGAAATATACAGCACATATTCTGTTCGCGTAGAGAACGCATTGTTTGTAGTTGTGCCAAGAGTCCTTTCCATTGGGCGCTAAAGTGGACCCACAGGAAAGGCTGGAGCGCGCTGTACATGCAGGACCACTAGACACAGCTCCAGCTAGCTGTAATGTGATGATGACTGGTGCATGTTGTCAGACCCAGAAGCCTGAAAGGTTATGGATCATCAAATGTGAGTTCTTCTCAGTGAGATTGAGGCATTGTTTCTAATTTTAATGCTAATTTCCCATTAATTTTAATGTTAGATAGATCAGAATAATGTGTTCCTCTTTTCCACCAGAAAACAGGCTGTCTTGTGTATTAGTAAAAGGAACATTTTCAATAAACTTGCCCTGTTTAATTTGAAAACATGTGTGCAATTGAGAAAACAATTTCCCTTTGAGCTGGTGAAGACAATAACATATATTTGTACGCATCTTTGGAAAGCCTACCGTCACGTGTTTCTTTCCCCATACGCCCTATCCTAGCTTTAAAAACATTTGATACAAGAATTGAATCCCTCTAATCTACTTTTTTTCTATGTGATTATTTTTCAACAGCAATTGGCATGAATAAATGCTGTCTTTTTTGTAAGTGCATTTTAATACACCACAGTAATTCAGTTGAATTAATTTTTTCTTGACATGTTGTAAATGACAAGTGAGGAGTGCACTGAGAGTTAGGTAATATCAACACTTAGGTACTATTTTGCATTTCACTATATTTCTAATTAAAGAATTAGACCATTTATCTGGCACTTGATATTGACCTTCCAATGGTAAAATATTTAACATTTTAAGCTGCAGTTAATAGGGCTAATAGGGATGTGACTCTAATCTTCTAGGACAGAAAGCAGTGTGGCTGTGGCTTATTCGTTTTTTTTTTTTTAAATTGTCTTTTTGAGACAGAGTCTCTATGCAGTTCAGGATGGCCTTGAGCTCACTTTGTAGCCCTGGCTGGTCCAGAACTCACAAGGATGCTCCTGCCTCACCCTCCCGAGTGCTGGCCTTATTGGCGTATGTCCCCATGCCTGGCTCCATTCCTTCTAATAGGCGGGAACTGAAATACATAAATGTTTTAAAAGCTAGCAGTTGCTTTTCTTCTGTAAATGTCACACACTGATGAGTTCTCCCTTCTTCTCCCTTTGGTCTGCCCTCAGTATGAATTCTCTAGTGCTGGAAGAGTAGAAATTGTCCCTTGGCCTCAGGTATGGGTGCAGGTAGGAGCTGGGAAGAAGGTGCATCTTCGCAGTGACTAGCAGGACGCTGCCCGCACTCGCTGCTGTGTTATTACAGACAGCCACATTCAACGGGGCTTCTGAGCGTTGGCTTCAAAGGTATGAAGGTATCGGTTAACTCCTAGTGAAGCCATCTTTCTTGGGGCAGCAAGGGGAGTGCAGTTGCCATGAAGTGATGCTACTGTGGGTCGCGTTCTGAACGTGAACCTTTCATGCGTGTCATGCTCACTCCCCATGGTGTGTCCTGGTCTAAGCTAGCACCGTCCTGACCGAGTGTGGAGTCAGACTCAGTGGCTCACTTGATGTACACTACAGCTGTGCTCTCGTGCCGCTTCTCAGTCATCACACTTCTGGGTCAGAAGCAACCTGAACACACGAGAGTGCTGGAAGGACCTGGATCTTGGGCCCAGGGCTTTTTGGGGGGAATGAGCCTTTCTTCACCTCTCTCCAGTTCGGAGTACTGGAGCTCAGTGACTCAGAAGGGGATTGCAGTCTTTCCTGATCTTGAGCATTTTCTTAGGCCGGCGGTGATTTTGAAAAGTTTGAAGAGTTTGGCAGGTGTTGCCGCCTGGTACTCATGGTTCTTGTTGGTGTGAATACTGACACTCATACCCGTTGTCATACTAGGCCGGCTGGCCCTCTGTCCCTGCAGACAGTGGGCTTTGGGAAGGGTTGGATCCTCTTTTAGGCTGTCACCCAGACAAACACCCGGAAATGAGTTATGTGTTACTCTTGGGGAAAGAAAAGTAGGGAACCTTCAGTTTAAGCTCTGATAGCCTCCCCCTAGAGACATGAAATATGGTCGAAAAGCTGCGGGCAATTTTAGGCACACAGAGATGTAAGGCTTTTATGAATTGAGCTGGGCAGTAATTAGCACTTATAGACTTCTACTGGACAAATATATGTTAAGGTACAAAATAAACTTATAGATGAACTAAAGAAACAAACAAGAAAATAAAATGACCCAACTGGGTGGCTCAGTAGCCATGCCAGCCTTTATCACGAGGAGGGCTGGGAGCTTGCCCGGGTGGCTTCAGGGGTCGCTCACCACATTTACTCGCTCTAGAGTCCGGTGGCCGTGTGGCCCCATTTCATCTTAAAAGTGATTGCTTGTCATCACATTGCCCTCTTTGATGGGACTTCTTACACAACACCTCCCAAGAGAGTTAGGAGTAAACCAGGGAAAGAGACTCGGCGTACATTTAGAAGTACCTGTTAGTGTTTGTCCTCAGTATTAGCATTTACACTCCTTTTTTCCTTTTTGGAGAATATATTAAGGCTCCATAACTGTAGGTCAGTAGCGGGCATTAAGAGCTTAAACCGACATTGTGACTGCCACTGACTACGTGTAGTCCCGATTTCCCCTTCCACAATGCAGAAGACAGGCAATTAAATTTTGCAGTTTTAAAATGTCAGTTGAACATTTACTGCTGAATAACCCCCGGGCACAGCAGGGTATTATGAAGGACATCAAGACATGACTGACAGCACCTTGCTGGTGCTGGATAAACAGCCCACGAGCTGCTGCCGAGAGATGCGGGGCCAGGCTCGGGCAGGGCAGGGCACCCCAGGCAGAGGGCCGAGATGCCCCCCCCCTTTTTCACCACTTCTGCTCAGCTTCGCTGTGAGTACAATCAAATGCATAAGGGGTGCGCGGTGTGTGCACACAGAGGCCACTGCTGTGCCACAAGGGGACAAGCCCGAGGCATCTGTAGGAAAATAAATGCGCCTTCGTGGCATAATGTGAAGTGCAAGAAATCAGACAAACTTAAAGGCCACGTGATTCCTCCTAGAAAGGAATCCTAAGCATACACAAAGAGCAAGATAAAAGATAGGTAATAGGAGGGAGGGAGAGAGGTCTTTTGAAATTGGAAGGGAACTGAGAGATGGGGGTGGGAGGGAAGAAAAGAGAAGAGGGTGAAAAGGGGGATTAAGATGTGTCGTGTGCAGGCACCAGATCTACTCATGAATGTAAATGTTATGTACTGTACATGTGGTCTACTAAAAAGGAAAAA